CCGCGCCCACGGGGGGGGGGCTGAAACCGGAGACCTGCTAAGGCCAGCGGCAGCAGCCCCGCTCCAGGCTCCTTCCTGATCCGGCACCAACCCTCGCTTTAGGCAGCCGGCACGGGATGGGAAGGCACCGCGCACCCGCGTCACCGCGGCCGGCCCCTTCCCGCTGCACTCAGCCACAGCACTCTGCTCTGGAGGAGTTCGCAAAACACCATCCTGTCCCCGCAGCGTTCCCCAGCACCCTCAAAATAAACTCCAGACACATCCTAGGGACAGCACCATCAGCTGCACCGTACTACTGGAAAAAAGCAGGAGAGACCGAGTGTCACCACGCGCAAGTCCTTGCCAAAATAGGAGCTTTATTAAGTAAAATTCCCGGGTGACTCGAGGAAGCAGACAACGGGGGTGGAAATCCCTTGTCAGTGTCATCCCCGACAATTAGCTTAACCCTGAGCAAGACACACCAGCAAGGCGTCGGAGAGATTTCTCCCCTGGTTGCATCGATGCCAGCTGCGCTGCAGCACACCTCTACCTGCAGCCACTCCCCTGTGCTTCGGAGAAAGGCAATCCATCTCCAGAGCAGCCCAGCTGCACAGAGCACCCAGATCTTTACTGCCCGCCCTTCAAAACCAAACCTTTGCCTTCTTGACATCCTTAAGCCAGGAACTAAGGGAAATTGTGTTCCAGCTATCTTTTCAAACACATCAAGTTCTTCTCAATCCTCCCAGTTTCACTCCTGGGGATCCAAACCGTCATTATGGCTGGCTGCTACGCAACTTCACCAAGCCAAAGAAGAGCAACTCAGACGTAAGCAGGAAGCTTTGTTACACCCTTGTTATGGCCTACAGAAGATACTCATGAGACTCTTAAGAGTCTCAAACCAGTGTTAATTTTAGACTTCTGCTGGTAAGCCTACTTTGCCATTTTCTGTGGGAAATCCTTATAAGAAGGAAAAAAAAACCCCAACATACCCTCTACCTCTTATTGCAGTCGTTTCAGCTGCAAGGTAAGCGATAACTCATACTGAGGAAACAGTCAGAAAGCTACAACTAGGAGGTTCCTAACCAACACAGGATTCAGGAAAAAAGAGCTTCAGCGAGGTCAGCGTTGTATTTCTCAAGAGGTGGAAAAGCAGAGTTTAATCTGTTCCACAAGAGGCACCTACAAACTCTTTCCAGCTTCGGCATCACTAACCCAAGCGCAGAGAAACACGTGTTCCCTGCGATACACACGCTGGCATCGCCTACCAACACTAACTGCAGTACCTCTGACTCACTGCCAGGGGAAGCTGGATCATTTTCTCCTCTCCATTAGCCAAAGAGTAAAGTGTAAGGACAACACAGCATTTACTTTGCCCAGTTCCACATACGCTAGCGGACAAGGACGGTCAATATACTCATCTTGAATTAAAGATAAAGGTTTTTGTTGTTTACGCTACCGATGTCAGCTGCAAGTCAAAAGATTGGGTGCAGATTAGAATATACCACAAGAGATGGGCTTCATACTTGGCACTCTTAGTAGATACAGGCTGGTCATGCAATTTCTGAGCAGGTCTGGAAGCAGAAGATACAACTGGCTCCTGGGAAGAGTCTGGGCTCTCACTCGACTCGCCGTACTGGCTGTCTTGCTCCATGACCAGTTTGCTTATGGTCAACAAGCGTTTGCCCTTATGGGATATTTTAGGAGGCTCTGAGATCTCAGAATCTTGATTCTCCTCTTCTTTCCGTCTCTTGGTTCTGTGGGATACAGAAGGAGACAGTTGCTTGGGGAAAGAAAAGTCTGTTTCATCCAGTTTGGTGAAGAGCGCATCAGAATCCTGGGAGTCCGACAGGATCTTGAAAGCTTCTCTCAGAACAGAAATCCCGTACGTGGTTACAGTTCCAGAGGGCTGCCTACAAAATAAACAGAACTGAGCAGGTTGTAAAGATATCACCAAGCTGGCTCCACTTCACTGAAATCAGGCTTTTCCCCTACGGTGTGTGTGTCCCTCGACAATTAACCTTAGAGTGCAAATAAAAATCTGTTGAAGAGGGCATTCCCAACCCTTTGGTCTGCCCACCTAAACGGTGCGGTGCACCGGGGAAGCAGGTCTCGAGAGAACGGGCCCACGCTCCACCAGATGCCCCACTATTCTCGACTAACGGCTGAACCATACGGATACCAAACCCTGCTCCACGAGAGCAAACCTTCTGGCAGCTGCTACCCTCCCTCCCTCGTTCACTAAAGCACTACATATCTTCAGAAAAAAAACAAAAACCAAACCAAACCACCTTAACATTTTTACTTGACAGAAGCCTTGCACCAGTAGCCTTTGGGGCTCGCTTGGGCAGACCTGCCTGGGATGGCATTCGGGGAAGTTAAGAGCTGCCTGGACAGAGCAAACTACCCCTCGGAAGAGAACTGCTGCCACGCTTCATCCACAACGCAGGGCCAGATTCCTCTGCCCACCTTTCCGAGTCCCTGAAGGACACTCCTGGAAGTTCCGGAGCCGCTGCTGCTGGTTCTTTAGATACTTCCATAGGCTCTGAAGCATCTTCCAAGATATCAAGCGCTGCTGTGATATGCTCAGGAGTTGCTGCTGGGTCAGTAGCTCCTTCCCTAGGCTCGGGAGCTGCTGCAGAGTCACTAGCTCCTTCCATAGGCTCAGGAGCTGCTGCTGGGTCATCTGCTCTTTCTGCAGGGCTGGGAGCTCCCTCCAGGTCTTTCGCTGTCTCTGCAGGCTCTGGAGCTCCTGCTGGGCCCTTCACCCTTCCCAAGGGCTCCAGAGCCACCTCCTGGTCTTTCGGCCCGTTTGCGGACTCAGGAGTCACCAATGAGTATTTTCGTTCTTTGGCATGTTCTGAATTCAAAGTCTTTTTTATGATCTTGGACAGAGAAAAAGCACGTAACCATTATAAAGACGATTCCTTGTACTACCACCGGATTTCATCCCCTCCCAAAGGCATTTTACTTTTTACAACTGCTACTTGCAGTTCAATCGGCACCACGTACAGAGTTCATGTCTATCAATTAAAACTCGTTACGTGGACTGAAAAACATGTTCAACTGTACAAACCTTTTAGGAATGGACTGAATTTAAAGTATCTTGGATTTAACCCACTGTTAATTAGGTGCCTAAACTCTAACTCGTTACTGGCACCGAAGGCACGCAGAAGCCAAATTACTGTTATTTCATTGCGTCATGGCAGAGTAAGCATCAGTTTGCCCCAAATCTGCACCTCATGCTGTTTTCCTGCTGCCCCGTGCTGGGGCAGAAGCAAGCGCAGGGTGGAAGCCAGGGAAGCAGGGCAGACACGTACCGTGAGCAGCAGCGGCTCCGAATCGTCCACATAGGTCTTCAGGAACTGAAACACGCTCTGCTGGAAGTCCTTGTAAGAGAAGTTTTTGACCATTGGATGAGTGAAATTCTTCTCCCGGATGACAGCCAGGAACTCGTTCCTCTTTTTCTAGAGGAGAGGTGAGAATGCTCTGAATAGGTACCAGGGTATAAACGACAACTGCAGGAGCGAGGATCTGCATGAGGATTGGGCCTGTCCTATTTGACATTCTCCAGGCGCAACTAATTTACGCTGGCGTAAGGCTGGGAAAAGGCCGGAGGAACGGGACAGCCATCTTATTTCAGCAACTCTGACTTTTTCCTTCCAGTGCCCAAGAGACTACACCGCCCACAGAAATAAGAACGGGGACTCTTTGGGCTTTTAGAACCGGCCCTTCTTACAAACTTGTGGCCTACACGTGAGCTTGAGTCTGCCTCGAGGCAAAGGATGAAGGCTGATGCCTGGAAGACCCGTGAAGATATGTGAGGGAACACGGGTAACAGAGGGCACTCCAAAGTGACGATCGACGTGCTTCAGAAACGCGTAACGCTGAGGGCCCACCTTTCATTTCTTTCCGTTTCATCACCCTCACCCTTTCTTCTTGTTCAGGTTTCCCCACGAGGCATGCTTCTCAAGGAAACCTTTTATGCCTGCAACACGGGTCGCAAGCGCTGCCCCCGCCAACACCCCATAATACCTATCAGACCACCCCCAAGTATCCCTGCTCCCCAATACCCCGTACGACGTATCAGACAGTCCTCAAGCAGCCACCTTTCACTCCGGCGCAGACGCACCTGGCTTCTGGGATCCTTCCCCATATGCCTCTTGACGATTTTTGAAGCTTTCTCAAACTCTCTGTTTTTGATGCAGACAATAACAGCCTACAGAAGAAAAACAAACGCCTGTTTCTTTGCTGACACTGAACCGGCCGTACTCTCTAGATCAGCTTTGGAAAAGCGCGTATTGTAATCAAGCACGGCACAGGTAACAGCGTAGTACCAACTTACAGAGAAACAACTTCCACATTAACTGATGAAGCAGCACATATGCTGAAGATAGGCATTTGCAGCCAAATCAGTACTAACGACGGTATTCTACACGCGAGGCAATTCCCACTGTCATTTACACATGAGCTTTCTAAGACAAAAGATGAGCAAAGTATTTACTGAAAAAGAAAAAGGTCTTACAGCTTCCTTCACCATTTTCTGAACAGCTTCCATCGTCTTCTCAGCCACAGAGAATTCTCTCTGAATGAGCTCCAGGACACCGATCGCCGATTCAAGGGGGGTGAGCTCCGACTCTTTATCGAAGGTGCAATCTACAAGAAATCACGGCCATTGGTTTGCGAGGCGTTCAGAGCGATGCCTTACAGAGAGCTAGTTACTTGATTTCCTCAGTGTGACTGCAAATTGTAGAGCTATGGAGGATGGGAGGGGACGGCGGGCTGACCGCCAAGCATCTAACCTGTGCGAGATCCCCACTGCCAGGCACGGAAAGCTACAGAAGCACCACTTGAGTACAAATAACCGATGCGGGGGGAGCACTTAAGAAGCCATGAGGGGTCTGTTCAGAGAGCGGGACAGCCCTGGAGCTTGGGTTCGAGCACCCTGCTCTTGGCCTAGGGCAACGGCCTTTCGCTTCCTACAGCAGTGCGACGCAGACGTGAACAGCCACGCTCTCTGTCCCCTCACCCCCAGGGGAAAGCTCCCACAGCTCAAGAGCTTCAGCCCAGACCTCTGCTCTGTGCAGGAACACAGCTCCTGGGAGCTGCAGGGGCACCGCCACAGAGCAGGGCACGCTCCGGCTGGGGCAGCGGGCTGCCGGCCAAGACCGGCGTTTCCCCAGGGCCTTGCTGGAAGGGTTGGGGGACCCACCGAGGTTCTCGCCTTCCTCAATCTGCGACAGGAATTGCATTATGCGCAGCATCTGGGCCACCACGGGCTCCTTCTCCAGGGGCCGCACGAGCAGCGCTGTGGGACAAGGGGGAGGTTACACCGGCCCGGCCCGGCCCCGGCCTGCTCCTGCTCCATCCCCACC